GTGATCACTATTATTATATTGATAGTAATATAGTTACTCTCAGAACTGAGTTATTATAAAGATGTCTATCTATTTTCTCTGTATGATTAAAATACTATGAAAGATTTAGAATAGCAGGTAAGCAAGTGAAAGAAAGAGAAAAGTAAGGTAGAAAATAATAGAAGAGGCAGGATAGAGAAAGATATATGAAAAAGAAGCAGGGTAGTTAAAGATTAAGCAGATATTAATAAAAAATTTTTTAAGTAAAAGCCAAGGATATATATACCATGAAATAGGAGAAAAAAAACCTGGAATAAATATTTTATTATCTAGTTAACTGAATTTTTCTTTATTCTAAGAAGGCTGGAGTAAGTTTCTAACTCTTTATATATTTTTTATAATAAATAGTAATATAATACCTGGCCAGCCAGACTAATACAGTAGGTTTTATTATCTTCTGAAAAATCAATATATGGAATACTATATTATTAAAAAAAATTTATATAGATTCTATATATTTCAGCAAAAGATAGAACAGTTAACTTAAAATCTATAATAAATAGTGCCTTAGCTGGAAAATACTAGTAGACTTTATATTACTCTATTAACTAAGGGCTCCTATTCACCTATATAATAAAGAACTATAATAGACTGCTATAAAAATAATTCTAAGATAATAATTAAAATAGAGTTAGAGCATCAGTACTGAAGGACTGTAAAAGCGGCATTACAATAACCACAAAAGAGGCAGCTCTTTCACTGAAGTGTTGCTTAATCTTATAAAATGAACTTGCTGAGACCCTGGCTGAGTAGATTTACATTTTTATTAAAATAACTTATTTATTTAAGTAATAACAGTTTCTAAAAAATCATGGTAAGCGGATGCTAGATTATAACTTAAATATATTAAAGTAATTAGATAAGAAGAATTCCCCAAGCACTGAGGATTTCTGGGAGCTGGAGTATCTAATTAATAAGTATAATATTATTTAATTTACTGCTATGTCAGATAATCCTAATCTGACTTAATTAATTAGTTTTTTTTGGATGAACTTTAATCTATCTACCAGTAATACTATTTTATAAACTGGTAATAATCTGTTAAATTCTTGATGGATTCCTATATATTTTCTAAAATATTATAATTTTTCTACTTTACTAAGTAATATAATTTGCTGCTAATCTTCTTGTGGTCTAGAATTTTTTTAACTCTATATTTTTATTTAATATTATTATTAATTTCCACATTTTCTGCAATCCTAGTATTCTTTAATACGGGTTCTAATAATAAGATATAAAATACTGGATAAATTTTACTTACTGATTTCAGTAGTCTTAGTTTATAATTAACTAGTCTTTTCTTTTCTTTAATAATAAATAGTTCTAGTTTATAATAATCAAGTTTCTGGCTTAGTCTTTTTATTTCAATATTTCAGTGGAGTAAAAATACTTTTTTTTCTCTTTTTAGGTCAGTGTTACAGACCCCTGCTAGTTGACCTGCTAGTAAGGCGGACTCGTTAGGCAGAAAGTACTGATAAAGACAGTGCTCGAGCAATCAGAAACTCTTATTTAGGAGAATTCTGGATTACTTCTATAATGCCCGGAACAGCCACACATCACGTGACCATAGGGTATATGGGATGGAATACGGGTAGATATATGGTATATGGTATATAATATACAGGAGAATATACAGCTCAGTATATATAAAATAAGATATATAAGAATACTTATTCTTGTATTTAAATAATTTTATTCTTCATGCTTAATTTCATATTATCTTAAGTAATCTATTATTAAAAACTTAATAATATAATACTTGTCTATACTCACTTACAAATAACTGCGTAATATTATTCAGTCTTACTTCTCTTTTCTTATCTAAGACTAGTTATTTTTAAATAAACTATTAGTCTGATATTATCTTGATCTAGTTTAATAATACATATACCAGTAAAGCTAAGCTAACAGGAACAGGGAAATAATTCTAGAATTTAATATATTAAATACTAGTTAGTACAAGTATTTATTATTAAAATTATTTATTATATTAACTACTTCAAGTGTGCTACAGGACTCTAATATCTAGAAAAAAGATTAATAACATACATCTACAGCACAGGAACTGATGAAGATAGTTAATCAGTTATAAGAAAGTAATATTATTTTAAAATAATAAAACTAATTACTTAAGGGTCACTTAGCAGTTAAATTTATTAAAGTCTGATTACTAGAATCATTTAATAGCAGTTAATCAAAGTTTAGGGCTTTCTTGATACAGTTAGATTTATATCTTAATATAAATAAGAAAAAGCTCTGAAATAAGATTAATAAAATCTTTTTTATATTTATTTACCTAACTGGAATAGCATTTAATTAATTTAAACTGTATATTTATAGATATTAAAAGAAACTAATAGAGAATCAAGATAATAATATTAAAAAAATCTTTACTAATTATATCAGATTTAAGAAATATCTTGAACAGATATTCAGAGATATTAATATAATAAGAAATACTGAGTAAAAGTTATGATAATTTAAACAGACCAGATCAGTATCTAATTTTTTTTTAAATTTCTGTAAATTACTAGTTACTTAAACTGAAATAAAGATGCCTATATTATATAATTTAAGAAAAAATTTAAAATTAAGATTTAAGAGTAATTTATTTAGCAAGAATAATTAAATATATTATAATGAATGATTGCAGCAGCAGTTAAAATTAATAATAAATTATATAAGTATAATATAAAATAAAAAAAGGACTGATAGACTAGTAAATCTATATTATATCAAAATAATTAATAAAAATATTAAATTAATAATAAATAACCGGTACAGTCTAGAAGCTTAGAATATAAGAATTTCTATAAACTAAAATTAATAAAGCTGGATATAATATAATATCAGATTTAATTAAATAAAATCTTTAAAGAAGAGCTTGAAAGATATAAAAAAAATTATTTATACTTTAACTGTAGTAAGGCAGGTTATTAATCAAGAAACTGTAAATAAAAATAATAATAATTTTAAAAATAATTAAGAATTACTAATAAAAACTAAACTAGAAAAATCTATAATATTACTAATAGATAACCAGAAGTCTGAATAGAAACTAAATTATTAAATAATAAGAAATCATAAGTTATATAATAAGAATAACTGTTAGTACTAGTAAACAGGATATATCAAAATTAGTTAAGATAATAAATTAATATAGATAAGCTAATAATACCAGTAGAATTATAAGAAACTCACTAACTATCTGAATTATTTAATTAATTTATAGAAATTAATAATAGTAAGAAGCCAGCTCTAAAAAATAAATACTCTGATATAATTCAGAATAAGTTTAATTCTTTAAATAAAGAGTATAGTACTCAGCTAAAAAATCTTAAATTTAATAAAAAAAATTTAATAAGATATCTAATATTTTAGAAAAAATTTTATTAAAAACCAGCGAACCATGCCCGACGCAACAGGATAAAAATAAAGAAAACTAAGAAGATAACAAAAATAATATCTCTTATTAGTTAGATTATATTATAAAAGAGTTTAAGAAAAATCTAATATAATTTTATTTAAAATTTAAGAAAGTCATGCAGCATTGTCCGCATTAGAATTTAAAATATTAAGAACTATAGAATAAAAACTAGAAATTATATTTTTAATTAATTTTACTTTAATTTATTCTACTTCTTATTATTATAAAATTATTTCTTATATTTCTAATTATAATAAATACAGATAATATAATTTTGACTTTTTAAGTCCATGATATAAGAAATGCTTTTTAGAAAATAATATTTATAAAAGTTTTTAATAATATAATTATTCTTATAAATCTTATCAGACTGATGAATGTGCTCTTTTACTTAATTATAATTAATATAATAATAAGATATATTAATTTATTCTAGAGAAAAGAAACTAAAGAACCTAGTTAACACACACAGGAGAATACATACTTTTATATTTCTTAAGAATAAAAAATCTTAAAGAAGAGAAAATAATATTACAGATCTTTATTAGTTAATCTGCTAGTAAGACAGATTTATTAAATAAAAAGTACTAGTAGAGGCAGTGCTCAAGTAATCAGAAACTCTTATAAAAAGAATTCTAGATTATTCTTATAATACCTGGAATAGTCTTATATTATATAATTATCTATTATCAGATTTACTATTAAGAGTATACTCAAGGTATACTAAGATCTTGAAATCATGATTAGATCAACTACTAATTTATCTTAGATAGTATATGATATAGTATACAGAGAATATGATATATAAGAATACTTTCTTATATACTTAATTAGTTCTGTTCTTCGTGCTTAATCTATATTATCTCTAAATAACTTACTTTTAAAAGCTTAGTAATATAATACTTGTCTGTATTTACTTACAAATAATTATATAATATTATTCAGTTTTATTTCTCTTTTCTTATCCAAGACTAGTTATTCTTTAGATAGTTACTAACCTGATACTTCTTTGATCCAGTTCGACAGTACATATACCAGTGAAGCTAAGCTAACAGGGACAGGGAAGCGATCATAGGGTTTGACAGTGATATTGTAAAACGCCTTGGTTTTCGCCACTTGAAGGACACAGCCTCTCAACATTCTCAAACGTCATTGTTACACAGAGGTAGTACTGGAGTACGTATTGCTTACCTTAGTACAGCAAAGATAGGTGTGAGACTGCGCTGCTGTACAGCTATGACACCTCAAGAAAGCCTCACGCGGCAAGATTCCTGCGAAGATTTCAAAGTGCCGTTAGTGGTGATTACGGGACCATTCTTATTAAATCAGTTTGCTTCAAAAAAATAAAAACAAAAAAAAAAACAATCCTTCAGGCGGATGCCCGTTGGTCGTTTACTGCGCAAGCTCTGGAATCGCTAGCCCCCAGGCTCAGCCTTGTTGATAAGGAAATGACATGTAGTAATCGTTCGTTTACTGCGATGAATAAAAGAGAGCGCGATAATTCAAGGTCATGATTGACGCTGCAACAAATGTGTCCAAACAACTAATGAAAGTATCATTGACTTGAGGCTGTACTACAACGCACTAGCGCCTGCTATACCAGGAAGCCTCAATAGACCATATGTCGCCAAAACATGTACAGAGATCAACGATTAAGAGCATCAGAGCCTAGTTTCAACATGGATACTTCTAGTCATTTTCCCATCCGACATCTCTGTCTGATTGAATCTTCTCGCGCACCGTTCCCTGCTCCTTAGCGGACCATTCCTGCCCATTTTGCAATCATCTGGATCAAACGATTTTGATTTAGCGGCTTAGAAAGATAATCATCCATCCCTGCCGCAATACACTTATCCCGATCACCAAACATAGCATGTGCAGTCAGCGCAATGATTGGAGTCCGCGAAAGAGCATGTTCCTCTTCGTACTCGCGGATTCGGACTGTCGACTCGAAACCGCCCATATTAGGCATTTGAATATCCATCAAAATCACATCATACTTTTGTTCGCGAACTTTGGCAAGAGCTTCCAGGCCATCATCAACCACTGTAATATGGTGCCGATGTTTCTCCAGGAATCTGACCGCAACCTTCTGATTCACTTCATTGTCCTCGGCTAGTAAAATTGTCAGAGGATTTGTTTGTCTCGTACTCAAACGTGTAGAGCAACCTTCAAGAACAGGAAGTAGGCCGTGACCAAAATCGATTGTGAGGCCTGACCTTATCACGCAAGAGGTGACTCCCAAATCCATCGCTGCCTTCATGCTTACTGGCATAGATGGGCCCACCAGAACTGCCGGGGCGAATCGAAACTCGTCTAACGTTCTTAAATTGACGAGAGATTCCATGTTCTGGACTATCAGAACATCGTACTGCGAGCTGTTCGTGAGGGCGACTTCGGTATCCCAAGCGCCCTCTCCTTGCGCCCCAGGGTACACGATAACAAAATTCAGGTTGAGCTCCTTCAGCATTTGAATTATTTGGTTCGAGTCTCCATGACCATTGACAGCAACAAGCAGAGCTTTATGATCTGCGTATTGTTCCAGCCGTTTTTTCATGTCCCCATAGGACGTGTCGGCGAGTTTGACTTTGAATACGAAATGAAAAGTACTGCCCGCACCCATGAGCGAAGATACCCAGATATCTCCACCCATGAGATTCGCTAGCTTTTTAGAGATTGATAGTCCAAGGCCCGTCCCACCGAACCTTCTAGTCATGGATCCGTCGGCTTGCTGAAACTTGTCAAAAATAAGGTCTAGTTTGGCATTGTCGATCCCGATCCCAGTATCAGACACAAGAAGCTCAAGCATATAGTCCGTAGACGAAAAGTTGTCTTTCGCTGCGTTTCTGACCGTGAGTTGGATTTCTCCTTGCTCCGTGAACTTGATGGCATTTCCAACAAGGTTCAAAATGATTTGGTGAAGTCGAAACGAGTCTCCAATAACGAAGTCTGGCACCCAACCATCCACACAATAAGAAAGTTCTAGAGCCTTCTCGTTGGCTTCGACAGTAAGAGTTTTCAACGCATTGAAAACTGTGGCTCCCAGGCTGAATGGAATAGACTCTATGACCACGTGGTTTGCCTCGATCTTGGAGATGTCGAGGATATCATCAATGATAGTCAGCAAGCTATTGCCAAGATTGTGAACGACGTTCAGCATTTCCCTGATGTAGGGAGTAAGCCCCTCAGAATCGAGTCCCAATTGAGTCATGCCTATAATACCATTCATTGGTGTCCGTATTTCATGGCTCATATTGGCAAGAAACTCTGATTTGCTGCGGTTTGCCAGCTCCGCGGCCTCTTTAGCTGCGGTGTTGCGTTGAATGCTATCACGGAGATTCGAAACCATCTTGTTGATCTTTTGCTTAAGCTCATCCATCTCTCCAGAAGCACTGACAGTGATCAGCTTGCTGAAATCTCCGTCAGTAGCGGCATTGGTTATTTCTCCGAAGGCACGGACTTGAGATGTTAGGTTGTCGGCCATGATATTCACATCTTGAGTGATCTCCTTCCACCGGCCACACATTCCAACTGCATTCGCTTGTCCTCCCATTTTACCCTCAACTCCAACATCACGGGCAACCCTTTTTAGCTCTTGCGCAAAGCGATCGAGTTGCTGGACCATATTGTTGATGGTATTTTTAAGCGTCAGGATTTCACCCTGTGCATGGACCTCGATTTTTTTACTCAGGTCACCACTAGCAATTGCCTGAGTGACATGAGAGATTGAGCGCACCTGAAGAGTCAGGTTATGGGCCATCGTATTAACGTTAGTTGTCAGGTCTTTCCATTTCCCTTCGATATTGACAACCACAGCTTGGCCTCCTAAAGTTCCATCCACTCCAACTTCCTGTGCTACCTTGCTGACTTCGAAAGCAAACTGATTCAATTTATCCACCATTCCATTGATTGTGTGTTTGAGATCCGCAATTTCACCTTTCACATCAGCTGTCACCTTCTTTGTCAAGTCCCCAACAGCCACAGCAGTTGTGACCTCTGCTATTTCACGAACCTGAGTTGTCAGATTCATGGCCATTTGGTTGACACCCTCAGTAAGGTCCTTCCAAACACCCTTAACATCATGTACTGTGGCTTGCCCCCCAAGAACTCCATCTGTCCCGACCTCCTTGGCGATCTTCGTGACTTCTTGAGCAAATTGCCGGAGTTGGTCCACCATTGAGTTAATAATCTCCTTCAACGCAAGAAGCTCTCCCCTGCAATCAGCCTGAACCTTTTGTGTAAGGTCTCCGTTTGCAACAGCACGGGTCACTGTTGCAATGTCGCGTACCTGAGTCGTTAGGTTATGGGCCATCGCATTGACATTGACCGTAAGCTCGTTCCACATGCCCTGAATGCCAGAAATCTGTGCTTGTCCTCCAAGTACCCCCTCAATTCCCACGTCACGGGCAACACGAGTCACCTCAGTAGCGAACATTCGAAGCTGGTCCACCATTGTATTGATTGTTTGCTGCAGCTGAAGAACTTCACCTCGAGCGGGTCTCTCAATCTTTTGGCTAAGCTCCCCATGAGCGACTCCTGCCATAACTGCTGCGATTTCCCGTACTTGATCTGTGATATTCAATGCCATGATATTCACGTTCTTGGTGAGCTCTTCCCATACACCATGAACACCAGCAATCTGCGCTTGTCCGCCGAGTATGCCTTCGGTTCCAACTTCTCGTGCAACTCTTGAAACTTCGCTCGCGAAAACGCGCAACTGGTTGATCATATCATTGATGGTAACTTTGAAAGTTTTAATGTCGGGGTCCATCTCTGCTGACCGAATATGAACTTTCGTGGAAAGATCCCCATTGGCGACTTGCGTGATGATCTCCCCAATCTCTTGTAACGCTTGCTGAAAGGCTTCGTTCATGCTTTGACTTTTTTGCAGCTCTTCATGAAGATGGTAGGTCACTGACTCCACATCACCTTCCGCAAGGGGGCGTCCTTGACGTCTATTTCTATGATTTAGCAAGAAAATTACTTCTCGAACATGTTCGGGGTCACGTACTGCGACAAGTCATTTGAGGTAGGATCTACTGCCGGGGGGAACATGCTTGATATTGGATGCTCATCTCCAGGCGTGATCGGGCCAGGATACTGATAGAACCGAAATTGCTTGATTTGGCAAACTCTCTGGACCAGCGCTAAGAGAGACTCTTCAAATATTGCCTTTTCCTTGCTAGGTTGGCCAGGGAGTCGCACATAGTCAGTATTCACAATATTCTAAGGGCATTAGAATCATCACTGGCACAAAGCGTTTCCTTTTGTTCATACCGATGATATGATCCCTTTAGTAGTCGCTTGCAATATACCAGCCGCAACCAGGAGGGTTTCTTCGATAGTAGCCATAAGTACTCATGCAGGACAGTTGCCGATGATTTTCAATCGCACGTTGAGTGTTTTCCTGAAGGCTTCAGAATCGGGTAGTCGGTCTGGTTCTGGAGAAGAGCTCTCTAGAGGCTAATTGTGAGTCAGGCTTCCTTTTAACATTTTGCAGACTCTGTATTGCAGACTCTATGACTGGAAGGACGAAAATTCCAACTTAGCGAATTATTCCTGCGAAGGAACGCCACATGTCGAGATCCGAAGAGCATTGTGCTGTTTTGCACTCTTGGCGAGGGGTAATGCTTGACGTCCGGATGACTGACGCCTTTCCCCGTGCCAATAACCTACCGCTGTTCTGAGGACGCAGGCATGAAGAGACCACTAACAATGTTGTGTACACACTCCGTTTGGGCTCGAACGGTCTGTATGACTAAACCTAAAGTTGCTTAAGGCGGGGAAAGGCAGCCATGCCAATACTAAGCCGCCCTTTGCGCCTTTTGTGATTCATTCTGTTCTCATCTTCGGCAGCCTTTGCCCTATGTAGTTTTCTAACCAGGATCGATGAACATCTTGCGGTGAGGCAACTTGAAATCTTGTTGCATATATTCTCCCGTCCGGCATGAAGTCCATATTTTCTCCTCATTTACGTGGTCCTTCAGTAATTAAGTCACATAGGAGGACTAGCGGGTTAAGCCGCAGAATGCAGCCTTGACGGCCTACTGATGTCGCGACAATTTCCTAGGAAATTGACACGACCGGAGCGGAATATCTTACCCCCAGAGAATGGGAGACCAGGGAATGAATAGCTTCAATCTGTATCTGATAACAATCGATGGTATGCTCAAGATAGTGAAGCTGCCGTGAATCTCCATTAGCCGAGGTGATCTGTTCAGCCAGTGAGGGACCACCTCTTTAGGGACAGACCAAAAACAAGGAATCAAAAAAGAACGCAAACTTTTCGCCAGGGTTTGATGCGCCGCATGGTTTGTGCGGGCAATCGTGGCTGATTAATGAACCAATAATGAGAGCTGGAAGTTCATCCCGGAGAATCGTATGATGAGTGGAAATCATAGGTTCTCCGACTGCCTTGGCGTGCTATATTTACGGAATCGTGTGAGAGTGTTGGCAGCGGCCAGTTGTCAATATTTTGCAAGCGCTCCTGTACGAGAGCGCCACAACGGAGGACTCGTTCCATCTGTTTTCCAAGGGACAAGGTCTACGTAAATAAATCCTACCCAAAAAGGGCATCGATGCTTATGATGAAATGGTGGAGCGGACAGGTTATTCGGTGAGCAGTGAGAAGGTTGACTCCAGATGAAGCCTTGGATGCGCCTATGCGATCTTCGGAGGGACAGTGGGAGCAAACCGAGATGCTCTGAGCAGGCTTGGGGGTTAGGTCCCGCCGAAGCCTTTTCCGCGGGTGTTCTTCGCCGCCAGCGGCAGCTTGGTGAAAATGGTGTGATGGCTGCACAGTGGTAACTTTGGAAACTCCTGTTATCGATCTGGCTGATCGACGGACTGGGAATACCACCTGTTGCAGACCGCGCCAGTTGGGGTTCTGTATTCAGGCGAGGGCGAAGTACACGGCGGGAAGGCGGATTTAACACCAGTTGATCTTCCTTGCGTCGTGATTGCCGGTTCAGGCTAGGGAAGACAGAGTTGTTATCTTCACAGTCGGTGCTGACGTCTCTGCTTGAGAAATTGCTGGGCGTGGCGGTCGGCGAATTAGACGCACTAACCGTCAAGGCCCTCGTCTGCTCTCCACGGCATGCTGCCTGGGACGACAAGTCCTTAGACAGGATTCCATGGGCTGATTAGTTCGAGTGCGACATTTGCTCGCAGGTGGTGCAGGGTTCGACAAGGCTGGCGAAGATAGCTGGGCGTTGTGTGGCTTTGGAGCACCGTCTTTTGTTGTCGTCTGCTCTTCGTCCTCGCATCCAGATAAGTATAATTGAGAACCATGTGCATCAAGTATTGAATTATCGACTGCGCTACCAGGTCGTCCTATGATATATTAGTAAAGCTGGGAGTAATAGGGGCATAAGCCACTTACTACATGAGTAACCCGGGTCTGCTTCTGTGGCTGTGGCGATTGGACCGAGGCAGAGAGAATCACCTGGTGCCTGTGACCCCGTGTCTGGCTGGACTCTCAAGACGCTTCTTTGGGTAACCAATTGATCTCGTTCCCCCTCGCGGTCATTGGTGGTTGCTGGTACAACCGGGAGGTCCGACGTCGATAAACTAGTTACTATGCGGAACATTAGTACACAGTCCCTAATATTATCACAGATGATGGTCACGCACCAAGAGTCGGAGAAGCGTCCTAGCATCGATCATCAAGGTGGTTTCTTGCATGGGACCCGCTTTGATGGTCCGTCTCCACGTCGGTCTCTCTCAAAACCAGGCTATTTGCTCGGGATGACACATTCTCAAGCTCAATATCGAATACATTGCGAAGGGCGGCGAATTGCAATTGGTTTTTTATCGTGGATGTTGGAACAGCAGTTACGGCGATAGGAGCTTGAATGGACGGAAAATGGAACTCGCACGATGTTGCACAAGCAAAGAGTAGACCCCTCGCAACTTCACGACAGAGGCATCTCTCGCGCGTCAACGTCCGAATGCAACCTTACCAAGCCCATCTGCCAATCTTTGAGATCGTCGCGCAGTGCAGTAGCGAGAACGTCGCTGGGAAAAAAGCATGCCACGTCGCCCTTCAAGAGGCATTCATGCTATTGGCGAAAATGGCATGTTAATTCGAGATGTTCAAGAGCAGATCTCCAAACAGATAAGGAATGCAAAGCCGGGTGAAAATGTTGTCTTGCAGCTAAAGATGGGAGAGGGAAAGTATTCAGTTATTGTCCCTGTGTTGGCGGCCGTGTTAGCAGACGGGTCATGTCCAGTGCGGGTGGTTGTGGCAAGACCCTAATCAAAGCAGATGTTCGAGATGCTCGTCTCGAAGCTGTGAGGACTTTTGGGGCGTCGCGTATATCTTTGACCTATCTCGCGTCCGCTTAAGATACGTGAAGCTGAAGCTGCAGAGATCGAACGTATGTGTTTGGAGTGTATGACGGAAGGTAGTGTTCTTTTGGTTCAACCCGAACAGAATCTATCACTAAAGCTCATGTGCCTCGAGTGCTTTGTCACTGGCAAAGAAGCCACGGGCCGGAGCCTTCTAATGACCCTCGAGTTCTTCCGCGTGTCATCGCGTGTCATCGCGTGATGTGATAGATGAGAGAGATGAGAACTTCAGCCCAAGATTTGAGCTAATCTACGCTATGGGATCCCAGCCACCGTTGGGGTTGAGTCCACAAAGGTGGAGCCTCACCCAGCAGTTGCTCGATCTTGTAAGGGTGTACGCTCCAGACGCTAGAAAGAAGTTTCCTGGGTCAATTGAAGTGAATGAGCAATGCCTTGGACGCTTCCCCCGAACAAGATTACTTGATAAAAAGGCCGCCCTGGAGTTGTTTAGAAAGGTAGTGGAGCATGTCTGTGGCCATGGTATTGAATCAGTGCCTATTTCAAGACAACCGGAGAGTACACGGCGAGCAGATTATTCATACATTCTTCATTCAGATCTGTCGGATGATGAGGTGACTGTGATGGAGGACTGTAGCGCAACAGGTTTTTGGAACCCTAGCACTAAGGAGCCTCTTCTTCTATTGAGAGATCTGCTTGCTGGCGGCGTCCTTGAATTTTGCTTGACAAAACGATGGAGAGTCAACTATGGCTCTGACCATAACAGAACACCAGCGACAAAGCTCTCCGCTCCTTATCGAGCCAATACAACTCTGCACCACTGATATTGTAACGCTGCCACATGTATGCTAAATTATTCTTTTCTGGCCGCCTTGAGTTTTTTCTAGATTTTCCTCGTTGTCGTCACAAAGCCACTTCCTTTAAGCTAATGTACAATTTCGGCGAGGTTCATCAATAGAGTGGGCATTAAAGAAGTGGTGTCGCAGTTTCACGTGGCCACTATACCATCGATAATAACAGCATGGATGGGGACACTTAATGAGCTTTGACGAATCCATCTTCGACAAGTGATTCTTGATATGGGTCAGTAATGTAGCCTTTGTCCGCCATTGTTGGAACCGTTCGTCTGGTCGCTTGGTATCGTTACCTAAGTAAAAAGGGCAGAATCCAGGAGCAATCAAGGTAAACCGGAAGGTGAGATGTCCGCATCGTGGTTGTAGACCGTCAAGGTGGGATTCACAGTGCGCCTTCCAGTCGGTATCCGTGTGGAACCACTTAGCACATAAGTAACACACCATTCGAGGGAAGTGTGATGGACCCGTCGATGTGCTCTCTTGCCGTTTGTATACCTCTGTTAATAAGGGGCAGCATTCAATGATTTCCTCCTACACTGTAGTATATGTTTTGAGCGATATTCTTTATTGATACTGTAAAAATTAGCCCCAGTAAGCCGCCTGAGCGATATATAACGCAGCTGATCATTCTTTGAGACATAGTCGGCATTTCCCGTCAACTGAACATTCCCCAGGATAATATGCCACTCTCTCATCTGATGTGATAAGATCCAGCATATCGTGCAGACATCTCCATCCAATTCGGCTGTGGATCGGTGCTTCTTGGAGAAGGTTCATCTTTAACCGCTCTCTCGCTGGCATGTAATTGCGATAGGTGTGAAAAAGATCAGTTGAATCTCGTTCTTTGAACTCATTCCCAGCGATATATTCATCGTAGGAATTCTTCCACCAATTCTCAATAAACTCCCGTTTCTTAGCTCGACGGATCTTGGCGGTTGTACAACTTGGCTCGCTCAGCAACCATACCAATCTTGCTGTTTAAAACATCAATCTGCTGATATATAGCAATCATATAGGGGTTTCTTTCGACTTCAGCAACACTCGCAGCGTCGAGCTTCTGGGCACATTAGGGTCCCGATGATGAACCATGCTCTCTTCCATTGCACGAGACTCATGGTCAGCTTCTTCTTTCTCAGAAGCACGCGCCAATATCAAGCTGTTACAATCTTGACTGATACTTCAAGAATGTGTCGGGATTTTGATGCTCTAGAGCTTGTGTACGCGCCGCTTTTGACGCTTTCGCTGTTGGTCTTTTAGCATTGGCCCAGAAACCTATTTGAGACTATAAGACAACTTACGATCAATCGCATTTGCAGTACCTGCTCGAACTCCATGGACTCGCAAGGTATCTCGAAAGTAGGCCCTTTTCGCTAGAGAGATATAGTGATTCCGGAGGGACGAAAACGTCAACGCACGAGATGGATGAGGGCCAGAAGCTCCCACCATGCGGAATACTGGCAACCTTCGAGCGCGTTCAGTCTATTCGAGGGTCCATGACTCACGCCCCTTAGGCGGAGTTTTCTCGAGCAATTCCTCAAGAGTCTGGATTCCCCTGAAGGCATTATCGGCAATACCACACACCATAAGCCAGAATATGAAATTTCTTCCTAATATTCTTTGCTCGCCAATCCAATTTTTCGGGCTGGATATAGTTAGTTACTGGTGCATTGTCAGTTAATATATAGATAAACCTACATTAATCCCTCATCTTTGTAGCGATTGCCTTTGAGAAACTCCGGGTCCATTGTGACCCAATACTTGATCTTCTGCTGAGAGGTGTCCTATTTTAAATTTAATGAGAGATGCTTCTAAGGATTAGTATATGATTAATCTTAAGACTCTCATTGATTATAAACCTCATAATAAAGAGCTTTATTTAAGTTTCTGTAAGAACCAGACTTAATATCAGCACCTGCTCTAGCTCCCGACGATGCGAATAGTGCTAGGATGCGGCTTGGAATCTAGAATGTTCATGCACGTAGTCATGCCAGTTGTTTTTATATAAATGTCTGGGGGGTGTATAGGTCCAGTTTTGTTATTGGATATTTCTCTCGGTGTTTGGTAGGAAGCCCATACTTAGGAGTGAGTACATTTTTGATATGCTGATTTGTCAGCAAATTGTGAAACAGGATTTGGGACTCGGCTGTACATTATAGGTATCTTCCTTCCGGGAGACGGGGATTTTTTTTCGATGTTATTCTCTCCCACTTACTCATGAAGCAAGAAAGGGTATGCACGATAGTATCTTGGCTGGGTAGATTACTCTCACGGAGAATAGTGTAGCGCTCAGGAAAGAGTTTGAGCATCTGTATAGGTAGGGAAGGGTTGTCGGGCTTGAAATAATGGTCTTCTGGCAGGCCTTTGGACAGTATCTATATAGTAGTTGTTAGTAATTGCTTTCTTGGAGAGGAGAACACAGACAGTATCCAGTAATTAACTGCACGTGCATATTTATTGTCTGTAACGGGGGCCCTCTTTTTGCGACTGGTAACATTATCCTGTGTTATTTGGTCTTGTTGATATGACTCTGTGAACCCTTGAGATTCTGTAAGTTTTTGGAGTTAATTAAGCTTCCTGTGTCTTTCCATGAATATTTGGTGTAAATAACACGTACCCGAATTTCTGATAGACGTGACGCTTAGACAGACTTTGTATTGACTTAATAGATTTTTTATATTTATTCAGCTCTATCTGTATTAAGGACTATCCTATTTAACTGTTATATTTTCTGATAATTATAGATGAGTTTCATAGAATTATTAAGTCTGACTGGATTTTAGGTACCCGCCTATACCCATTTGTACGACAACGCGGTCTGACACACTAGTAATTTAATATATTTAAAATCTATATTAAGGAAAAAGAAAAGAAAAACCAAAGGCGCGAGATAAGAACCAGCTTACTATTCTCTAAAACTAAATATCTTTTTTTTAAGCTATCCGGATTTATTAAGTTAGAACAGTAAAAACTGCCAGCCATTTATCATGACCTTATCCAGTTCTACTTCAGCAAGACTTATATTCTTTCTATTAAGCTCTCTGATACTAATTAAGATATTTTCAGATTCTATTCCTTTATCCAATTTTCCCTCCTTAATATCTTATAGCTCTATCATTCAAGCCTATCAATATCTTTAAAATCTTAGATATAGACTAACTTAGACCAAAGCTCTTAATCCAAGATAGAACCAGATTTTCTCTCTGAGTAATCTTCCGACTCGCCTTAAGTATATCAGTCCTAACCAGAAAAGAGAATTAGATTCCATACGACGCGGATCATAAAAGTGACTTTTTCTTATAATAGTTACAAACTAAGTACAGGAGACAGTTAAACAGAAATAGTAGATCTGAGATCAGGTTATTAATCAAGATATACTTCACTAATATTTAGAATTACTTTAATCAGGTGGCGGAAATATATAAAGATTACTTAATAGTTATCTATAAATCCTGTCTGACTTTACTAGATTATTATTACGGACCCCTGCTAGTCAGCCTACTAGTTAGGCAGATTCACCAGGCAGAAAGCACCGATGAGGGCAGCGCTCAGACAAAGCCAAGTTATTATTTAGGAGAAAGAATATATAAAGATACTTCCTCATATACTTAGCTAGTTCTGATCTTTGTGCTCAATAATACTATCTTTAAATAACTATATATTTAGAAACTTAGCTACAGAATATTTGTCTGTACTTACTTACAAATACCAGTAAAGCTAAGCTAACAGGGACAGGGAAGCGATCCTAGGGTTTGACAAGATTAAACTTATAACTATAAGCAAAATAGTTAAAGGGTAAGATAATTATAATCCGTTTCTATAATTTATACCTGTAATAATACTAATCTCTTCCAGTAAGCTTTTATTATTATATATATCAAATCCATTCAAAAAATATTTAATATCTTCTTTTATATTCTTGTTAGAAGTGAATCTATAGAACAGGAAAATATATTATTTAACTTAGTAAAATTTCTGGAGAAAAAAACATTTGAGAATAGGCAATGGTGGCACTCACCGGATGCATTTTCTCGCAATGGACTCAGTGAGCTCATCCAATGAAGCGCGCGGTTATTGTTCTTCAAACATCCCCCAGCTTAACTTCTCCTCTGATTTCCGGAGCACAATAGGGATGATATCCAGCTCGGACCAAAGGCGTGCACACAGATCCGGACATCGTTCCGCCAGGTCGGTCGGCATTGCCAAACCGATGAACTTCTCGCCGTGCGCTTCCTGGTATTCCCTCATCTTCTCCACAATAAACTGAGCGATTTCGGCCTGATAACGGCCTTGACTGCTCGTGGAGAAGGTAAATTGAGCGTAGTCGAGCAAATACGTAGAATCACGGACGGCCACGGCGATAGTCGCTCCAGTAAGGAGGTGGAACCGAGCCGCAACCCCTGCGTAGATAACCTGCAGCAGGCATTAGTGGATGTTGAATCCATAGCTACATCGTCCTTCCATACATTTAAAGGAGGCCCAGTCCAGTCATTCTCTGCCACCTCCGTCTTTACCTGGCGCAATTCATACAGGGACGTGCGCCTTTCGGTCCCCGTATCTCTGGTAGTAGGTGGGACAGACATGGTAGACATGTTTGGACCGCTTACAGTGTGATCTCTGAGGGCATGAAACTGCCGGGGAAGTTGTTGAGGGTAGCAGTCGGCGATGAGAGATGTGGTGATTTAGTAAAGCAGACATTGATGATCCGCACAATAATACTATCATTATTAAGGTCATTCACGGTCAAGAAACCTGGGGAGAGGCCAATGAAATTGTTCTGAGTACACGAGAAGGACTGACTAAAAGAAAGGATATAGTTTCTGCGGTCGCGGGAGGCAAAACACTATGGCTCGGTCTAGATGATGCAGCCTACGCCTATAGGGTCACGATGAAAAAGCCTCCCATCAGCCAACAAAGTGTAATGTGATGCCATGACTTCATTGTTCCGTCCACGAGTCGGCGGGAACACGAATGCCTACCGGAAGAGGGTGTTCTTACCTGATCCATATGGTATGAGTCTCCGCACCTGCAAACATGTCTGAGAAAGGGACAGGTAAGCCAGCATCTACAGCTAACAGTCAAGGAACGTAGTGGAATATATGCGAGAGAGAGATGGCAGAAGAAGAATGTGATTGTCACAGGTTGTCTTGTGGCTCTATCTGCGATACCATATATAGTCTCAGCACGTACCGCGGCAATTTGAGTTTATGTGCAAGTCATCCCGCCTATAGCCGATGTCCGATTTCTATTAGTCGTTCGGGGACAGGCAACAAGACCGAGGAGGACAGTGTGACTAAACATACCAAGTAAACAGCAGGTGAATATCACGTCTAGCAGAGTCACCAGATATTTATTTCCAGCAACTGATACAAGCAGCATACAAGTAATATGTAGTATTATCTTTGGGTGAGGTTCTGGGGCACTTCAGATATCGATACATACGATGCTTCGTCGGGCTGGTGAACAAGACAGCGACTTTTGTTTCCCATTCGCGCTCATCTACACCGGGAGCGGTCGGGGTTGGGAGACATGATGAGCTTGGTTGTGTTGTAGATGCCAATCATATCCTAGAACAAACAAGGAACGGTGAAGAAGGGCGAAGGAAACACTACGGAGAGGACATGGGAAAAGGACAGAAGAGTTAGTAACGAAACAAATATGGCCTAAGGTGGCGGCTCCCTATGACTTTTACGAGAGAACAATCCCTCTATGTGATCGGGCCAGCTTATGTACATATTAGATCAATTTCGGTGGCACCCAGCTGCAGCTTCTCGCTTATATTAGTATCCAGGTACAGGCTCCTGCTAAAGAGCTACACCAATTGATCTCAAGCAAGGGAAGTACAGTAAGTGCAGGTCATACTGTGGGTCTCGAGAAGCCACAATATTGGTGTAGTATATTTGAGAAGCAACAAGAGGGAGACATATCACCATCCCCTAGAATTGCATAGTATCTTCCGTAGACAAATAGCTACTATCCGTAGCCTGTCGAGAGCGATAGTCATGCTGAAAAGTGTAAAGCTTCGGCGGCTATCTCCAGACTTATTATATCGCGAACAGATATGGATGTGAGGCAAGAAGCTATTTCGATAATGGAAACATTGCTTCAGTCACTGGAGGATGCATTGTCAGCCAAGGTGATGAGTTGATGATGACAATCACCTTGTAGCGAGGAATGAACCCGAATTCTCCGCAACGCCATGCATGGTCAAGTTATAGGCTCTGTTGCGCAAGTCCAAATGGGACCCTGATTACTGCCAATGACCAAGAATCACTCAGTAGCCTTCGCGGAGGCCTTCTTGGCAAGGAAGATCAGTCTTTTGATCAGGCAGACCGTGAGATAGATAGAAGGAAACTGTCCCCGCGCGCTTGCTGACTCCTCGTGATCTAGTTCAGCGAACATATCCGCTAAGCTCTGTAGGAGTTGAATATCGTTCTCAGATGACGGCGCAGTAGGGTAAGTGATAATACATTTGAAGAGGGAGAAGACGCCGGTCAGTAAGAACTGGGCATAGATCCTGATTAAATAATATTAGTGACCTTCAACGAACAGGAAAGGATGGAGAGATACCAGAAAGTATGCCAGTTCCAGAAACCCCGAACGTGGCGAATGTATATTAGAATGGACCGGGATGCCTGATGAAACAGCTCCGCACTAGATGGGAGAATGGACCAGCCAGAAATGCTGCTGTTTCCCTGCAGAGAATGACTGGCGTCGTGGATCTTGCCTAGTAAAGAGTAAAATTCGAGGTGCAGACACACACCACGCATACTCAGGTCGTGGAACGTGTAATCAGGAGCGGAAGGAGTGGCAAACAGGTCCGGCCAGCACCTCGCGGGAAATGTTGACTTCAGATCATTGAGCTCCTGATCTAATTCACGGATATATTGGAGGCGACGGGCCTCGGATTGACTTCGAGCGTGGGGAGAATAAAGAAGGTGATACACCTTGGATTTGAGCAGAGAAAGTCGGACGTCAGAGGGAAAGAGTAATTCGTTGGTAGGAAGAGGTCTTGAGAAAAACTGATTGTCGCATGAGGACAAAACATAATTGTCCGGTATCTGGAGATCGCAATCCTCGTCCCTGAAGTGCAGTAATTGACTGTACCGGATGACCAAGTTTTTATCGGCCCCATAACAAAACCAGAACAGGGCGCGGAGATGTCTGCCTTCGGGCTTGTCCAACACGGAGCACCGATGCGCGCCGAGTGTGAGGATCATTCGAGTAGCCAGGGACAGTAGGAGCTGGCCGGGTTCAATTTGCCCATTGGGCATGAGATAGGTCATCTGTGAGAGTCAGCCACAAACCCTCCGTTCATTGTGCCAATCCCATACCATCAACACAATCGCTTCAATGCCTCTAACACTGGGCTTTTCCAACAGCAGCCTAGGTACGAGGCCCAGCGCCGCCTGGATGTAGGCATCTGGTTCGGCATCGACAAAACCCGGGCTGAGCCGATGCATCACACTCATCAGCGCAGTAAATGCGATAAGACAGGCCAAGCTAGCCGCAGATACAGTTTCATCTTGGTCGTTCAGTACACCCTCCTCAATCAACCGACTCAGGGCATCGGTGTCGACAAGGGGGAAGATGGAATACAATCCGCTCCGGGAGAAGTGATGGATGGAGTGCTGTACCAAAGATGTGGGCGGCCACTTTGGCGACAGGGGCCGATTCAAGCGCGTTCCGCTCTGAAGGCCCCGAAATTTGAGTGATTGTGCCGCCTGGGCTAGGAAATGGTCGAGATCAAGTTGGGCCCCCGTTTTCTGGTAGACCGTGGAGAAAAAGGACGCTCTTTGGGTGGAGCCAGCTTCTCCTACTCCGCAATGGGCGATCTCTGCTTGGAATGTCGCGAGCGAAGTGGCTATGCTGTATGTGTCTGAAACATGATGTAGAGCGAACAAGGGAAGCCATAGTTTTTCCGAACGTTCATGAGAAGTACTTCGTTCTCCTTGATCAGACGTGGGTGAGGTGTTCTGGACAGCCAGCTGGGCTTCCAGGTCCCGTATCCGTGCTTTGGCATCAAGGAGTTGACTATGACTTCCGTTAGCGCACCAGTATGGCAATGACATCGGTACTTACTCTCGGAGGCTTTTCCGCAGCAGGCTAGGGTGTTCGGTAAATGTGCACTGCACACCTACGGAAGTACATGCCTCACAGGTTGGTTGTGCGTTGTCACAGCGAATCTAGTGTGGTCATGTAGGATAAGCACTCAAATGTCATAGAACTCCACTTGCAGGAAGTAAATGAATCATTGATTTGGATGCAATCACGTACCTTCTTCCGGCGGCACAGATCACAAGCATTGCGAGCTCGTCCACCAGGGCGCTCGACTGAAGATTGGCCGCTCATGTTAGTGGGAGATGCCTAGCGGGCCGGAACGAGAACAGACACACGGTCTAATGCTCCTGGATTCTGGCGGTTCCTGTAAGGACGTTGCAATTTCTCAGCCAGGATTAGTCAGCGGCAACGCTAGGGCCGGTGTTTGCCAGGGTTAAACATGAAGGTTGACGCGGGCAAGAAGATGCAGAGGGCAAGATGAAGTGTCGATCCTGGGGAAAAAGGTGCCGAGACGCGGAAGCTGCCAAGAGCCGGTTGATCCCAACTCCACTCCGCTCCATTTGCTACTTCGAGGAGAGCAGATATCCTCCATCAATCATCTTCCTCCATTTCATAAGCCACGCACGTCTTTTTGATACTGACGGATGTCGACCTTCCTTCTCCTTCCCCACCGACTCTGATTCACTTCAGTTGAGTTCTATGACAAGAGATCAGCCAAGATCCTATACAACGACGATGACGCGTTTGCAGGCCTCGGGACGGTTCAGAATGCCTTAGTGACAATATCAAGCAGAGAGCTTTGCGTGGATATCGGTCTACTTTCGGATCACGGACATCCCGAACCCGACAGATTGAGGATATATAAAGCATGGCTTTTGCTCGTCTTCAAATCTTTCAAAACACAACCCAACTCATACTCACTCGTTCTCTTCGAACCATCTCTTCTCGATTATCTCAAAATGCAGCTTCTTCAGCTCAAGCAGGCAATTGCGCTGTCGCTGGCCGGTTTTGCTATGGCGCACCCGGGAGCCCATGAACCCAGCTCTTTCACCGATGTCTCCAAACGTGCCTTCCTGCACAACGCCCACCGGAGTCTGAGCCAGTGTGCCGGACAGCTCAAGAGAAATGGCGTCCTTGAACGAGCTGCTTCTCGCCGCGCCGCCGTGTTTGAGCAGTACAAGAAGCGCTCCTTGGGTCTCCGCGATACGGAGCAGGTGGTCAACACCTCGCACCACTCCTCCCTCGATGTGACGCTCAACACTCCCGAGTCGGAGCTTTTCTCAAAGGACCCCGTGTGTATCCTAGCTCCTGAGGGTGAGGTTGGCCCCTTCTGGGTGAAGGGCGAGCTGATCCGACACGATCTCTCCGACGGAGAACCGGGTGTGCCTCTCTACATTGACGGCCAGTTCATCGACATCAACACCTGCGAACCCATCCAGAACCTCTACTGGGACGTCTGGAACTGCAACTCCACTGGAATTTACTCCGGAGTTCAAAGCAGCATGAACGGCAACGTCAATGACACTTCCAACCTCGACAAGACATTCCTCCGTGGCATTCAAAAGACTGATGCTGATGGCGTCGCGGGATTCAAGACCGTCTTCCCTGGACATTACTCGGGTCGCGCAACTCACGTCCATGTCATCGCCCACCTGGGTGCGGAGGTCCTCGCCAACAACACGCTGACGGGAGGCCATATCCCTCACATCGGCCAGCTGTTCTTCGACCAGGATTTGATCTCACAGGTTGAAGCCACCTATCCCTACAACACCAACACCGTTGCCATTACCGAGAATGCCGACGATCATGTGGTCATCGTTGAGACAGAGGATAGCAACTCCGACCCCTTCTTCGAGTATGCTTTGCTGGGAGACTCGATCGAGGATGGTGTTTTTGGGTGGATTACCCTTGGAATCAATGTTACTGCCAGCCATGGCAGCAGTGCTACATATGCTGCTAGCCTTACCTCTTCTGGCGGGGTTGTCAACGAAGATGCTTCGAGTGGCGTTGACATGTAAGGCCCATGGGGGTCTTGAGCGGTTGAGCCGGAGCTTTTCCTGTGGCTTTTCAGTCACTCACCTTGGCGATAACATCGACTTGTTGAAGTCGGAACCCTGTCATTTAGTTAGTAACCTTCTGTATCATCTTTTACTTTACCTTAGATATTGAATTGAAAGGTTCAATTCAGTATCAGGACTAACTGTAGGACATTAAAAGTGCCATTGATTATGACTGTTTCAACAATTATTGAGGCACCCCCCTCGCTACAACATAGTATGCATTTTATAGAAAGGTATCTAGCGACTGCCAGGCTGTCAGTCGGATGAAACAAGCTCTAAATCATCTGCGATTCTCGACCACACTCTCAAGTAGATTTGATAAGATGACTCACCCGTGGCTAACCCAGTCAGGTATCTAAGAAGATATTACGGGACTTATAGCCATTGGGCAGACATGAAGTTTCCTGGTAAACTTAGCGTACCTGCCGGGTTCAAGTCCAAAGCATTCGTTGTTGGCTTTATGGTGCTGACAATCCGGAACAACCTGATTACGGATCCACGGCTGATGGAGGGTATGTCCTACTGCCCAAAACCAAAGAGGGTACGGTCGCACTTGCAAATTGTCTGGTGGAAGACTAGAATGACTGTGCACAATGCAAATGAACTCACATCTGCATAGGAGGTTGACAGGGAAAATGGAGTAGCTGATCTGCTCTGTATGATGGTCTATTGGAGCAGGTCGGGGTATAAAGCAAGGTATTATCAAAGTCACCCACATAAGCATGGTATCATACCAATACGCCTTGATTATGGGATCTTAAGCACATATACAGGTAGCGGGCATTACTCCCACGGCGCCACTACGCGTATAATCATCCCCGAGCCGTGTCATGCTGGGGCATTCTTGGCTATTATGTGATACACTGCTACCAAGGAGCCTATGACTCGATAATGAAAAATAAAGGATTCATAATTCACTCGTTCTAACTTCTAGAGCTATTCAGATTCATTCGACTAGAGGAGTGACAGGACTTATCATCGACATTCCTGGTCTCTTGTCCACGATCAATATCTGGATACATGATGGACAAATAACTGCCTAATTCGCAATCTACTCATGGCCACATGCTTCACCCTCATCTGTTGCACCATCTACACCGGGTTATCACAGACGTCACTCTTTCCAGCGCCACTGTTGATACAGATGACATGGCATGTCTCAACAACACTAAGTGATTTGTCGGCATTGCAATGGAACAGGTATTTACCCCAGAGGCCTGGGTAGCGAGCGGCTTCAGGGGAACCCCATCGGACTATCGCATCATGCATCGCATCCTGGTTGCCGCCTATATATGTCAGTACACCTCATCCACAACTTCAATGTAGTAAGCTGAATAGTGGCCCACAACTCACCAACATTGTCAAGCACGACTTGACAGTAATTCATGCCTGGCGTACAGTTCCCAGTTACAGCCGCACTGACAGAGGCTGATAGGCTGAACATCAAAGTCCCAATTGTCGCAGTGAACTTCATCTTGAAATCGTAAATCGAAGTAGAGGGCACAGGGGATATAGCGTCTGCGTGCTGATGTAGCCTGGAGTGAGGATACAATTGGATCTCACTCATTAAAATGAGAATGGTCTGCATATATATCCAAGGATTTTAGTTGAGTTATTGCTTTTGTTAAGACTGGCAAAGCTTGCTCTTTGGTGTTGGAGTACATGTATCACATTCCTATCTTTCAGTAGTCCTCGGTCAATCTCGCCTCCGTACAGCCGATCAAAAAGTCCGGATACTCTTGTGTCCAAACCCGAGGTGGTACAGATTTCTAACTAGTAGTCCACGGTCTATATCCTCTAGTAGGTATCGGCCCGAATCCCCGCTATGATTGGCCAAAAGAGCCACAGTCGGGCTGGAATGAGGTAATGTCTCGTTCATCTGAGCTGGCCATAGCAGGATTGATCGGCAACAGCTGAAAAGTAAGTCTTTATTATGCTGTGGCCTTTATACAGCTGCCGATCTAGTCAACACAGCTCAGCCGCACGCCCCACCAGCCTTGCAGGGAGTCACCCACCTGAGCAGCTCAGACCAATTTTCAGACCTGTAAGATATTCCAACATATGCACCACAGTTCGCCTCCTTATAGCGGCTGAATAGTATTTTAACTGAGTGAATACATAATTATACTAATGAAATTGCTTTCCTTTCGGAAATTAGTCAATTGTCTTTTAATCAGTCCTTTTCCCACCTAGTAAAGGCCACCTATCCTGCTGTGAATAGAAATACTTTATAGTCATGGCCTACAACATAAAGCGTTGATATGCTCTTGATGCAAGTCAAGACCTGATCCTGACCATATAAGACACCTCTGATGCCTTCTACCTCCTTCTTCCGTGCTCGGGGCCTATGGTAATAACCAGGAAAATAGCTTCGGGAAGAAAGTACTCTGAGAACTGGAAAGCCTGATTACGCGCATGGTGGGAGTTGAGAATGATAAATGACATGCGCCAAAAGACAAAAGTGAAGCCCTTTGAAGATATCCTGGGGCGGGTCTATCACACCGACTGAACCCCAGGAGATCTTCCCTTTTTTCCTGGATATTGCATGGACACCTTACCGTGTTCAGGCCATCGCAGAGATTCAATATTAAATAAATGGAATACTACATGGCCTATAATCAAAGTTAGCCAACTGCGGCTGCTGATTGAAGCTATTAGATTAGGTCATGTATCCTCTAATCAATCACTATCTTGGGTTTTGATCTATCCTAAGCAATCGTCAAGTCCACGCCTTGGTGAATTTCACTCCGGATTCTCTGCGGCAGGTTCCTTCTCATATATCCACCATCCCGAAGCCGGCTGAATCATGTCCTGCTGGCCACCTGCATCTCCCACACAGCTGGCATGGATCCCTATGACTCCGGCCACGAGCTCCGTTTCATACTCGGTGCCATTATCATTCACCTTCATCGGGACCGAGGCGAATGCGCCCGGGATGTCTGTGATGTCGACACGATGATACTGGACACCATCCAGTTCACATCCCGATATGCCCTTATCCTCCATGGGCCGACCTTTCTCATCCCAGTAGCAGAACGCGGTGACCCACCCGGACAGATAGGACGGGCCACTCCCGAATGAAATTCGATCTGCACATAAGCCCCAAAATTCACGAATGGACTCTGAAGTAGGATCATCAAAGGAGATAATGAATCTCGTCAGGATAGGCCGGAGAAGACGAGCAAACTGAGCCGGCTCGGTGCCCAAGTCCGGAAGCTTTTCCAGTTTGCTCAGCAGCTGGACCCAGTCTTCCCGCTCGCCCAGCAACGTCACAGTGGGATTGCCACACATCAGATAGGCTTTGTAGGAGAAGTATTGCTGCATGGCACCCATTATCAGCACCGCCGCTATGACCTGGTCACTGGCGGTGGTGGTGCTGAATGCCGGCATGAGCCATGTCCGGAGGTCGGGATCCACGACCTTTTTCTGGATGGCCTCGGTCATTCGGACGACCAGTGCTCCAAAGTCGACCGAGCTAATCGTCCCCACTGTGGTGACGGAGACTTCTTCCTTTCCCTTATGGGCCACGAAATGCGACCGCAACTCTTCGGCATGCTCGTTGATGTAGAAGCTCAGTTGGGAGAGGATGGCGAACCATACATCCTCCGGTCGCAAAGTCAGATGGTGATGGTAGCTATATGCCTGAAACACGGCATGGACCAGGCCATTCGAAGACGGGCTGATGTGATTCTCCGCGAGGTGTTGTGAGGTGAAAGAGCTCTGGAGCAGCTGCTTGCAACGACGGGCGTTTTCTGGACAGGACTCCTGCAAGAGGTCTTCCGCCGTGAGTGCCTTGGCTGTACCCCATACCTCTGGTCTGGTGTTGGATGTCGTCAAAGTAACCGGCATCTTGGCTTGTGGTGACTAGTATTCTGTTTGCGAAGTACTCGTGGATAATGTGGACATGGAAGAAAAACTGACGGGACGATGGGTTTGGATGGTTTCAAAGTCTGCCTGATCAACAAGTTAGTGGGGCTATTCTTGGTGGTTTCACATGAATCTCCAAATACAGTATCGATCGGCGTCATCATTCGCGGGACGACTGCAGAACTATCTACTTTGTATGAGGACAAGTGCTGTCACCATCACTATCTTCTTAAGGTCCGTTTTTTGATTATGAGTGGGAGCCCATCACCACCGGTTGCGGACAATTGGGTGCTCCGAGGCCTAAGACACCGACTGGTTGAGTACCATTGCCGTGCCGGCACAGATATATATATTCTCGTCAGAGTATTACTAGCATGTCAAAACCACTTTCGAGCACCATAGGGTTATTGACCTCCGATCCATCGCCGCTTCAGCAAGGGTGCCTGCATCACTGGCTGTACATTTTACACAGAGAAGGGACGCTAGTATTCACTGTAAGCAGGATGGCATTAACATGTCTGTTGCAGATTATGTTCGACAGTATAAGCTCTGAATATAAACGAGAACATGTATCGTAGGAAACATCATATAGTAGCAATGTAGCCATTGTAGAGCTTCTTACACTCGCACATTATAAACCGGCTGCATCGGACACGTTCCGACCAACTTATCAGTCGGGGCGCACGGGCGGAACTTGGGCTCCTTCATGGCGGCCTCGGCACCCCCAGCGCGTTGCTCGACCTCGCTAAACGCAAACGGCTTTTCGGGGAGCAGATCATAGACGCCCTTTGCATACTCCGGTGCGATGCGGTACAATTGTGCCAAATACTTGATCTGGATCAGCGGATACTCCACGAGTCGGAGGAGCCGGGCAGTATTATCGTGCAGTTGCTTGCGAGCACGTTCATCCATCACCTGTTTATATAAAGCCCGTGGCTGATCGTATTCGGAAGGCTTGCCTTCGTGGTAGAAATGGGATTTGCGTCCGACGTTGTTGTCTGCCAGCTGGTAAGGCGCCTCGGCAACATCTGGTCGGAACTTGTTCACAAAGCTGTTCGGGACATATTGCGGGTTCATCCCGTGATTGGCATCCACGCGCATTTGACCATCAAAATTCAGGGATGAATAGGACGAGGCCATAAAAGGACAGTTGACGGGAACTTGGTGGAGGTTGATGCCGATTCGGTGATATTGTGCATCGCGGTAGAAGAACATACGGAATTGCAACAAGGGGTCAGGGCTGTCTTCAATGCCGGGGACCATGCTGCCTGGGGAGAACGCCGCCTGTTCAACATCGCGATGGAAATTTTCGGGGTTCTTGTTGAGGCGGAGTTTACCGAACTCTTGAAGCTATATCAAATGGATGAGTGACCCAGGGCGTCCCAGAGAAAAAGACGGAGAAGTTAGGACTCACCGGGAACTGCTTCTTCGGCCAAACCTTGGTCACATCGAACGGATCAAAGCCCAGCTTCACAGGGTCTGCGTCTTCGGGCTGCATGATCTGCACGTGTGCAGTGTAGGTAATCTCTTCCCCCTTTTCGATTGCCTGCCACAAATCGCGTTTGGACCAGTCCGGATCGGCCCCTCCGTGGTACTGGGCTTCATCGGCGGTGAATTGTCTCTGGCCATTATCTGCTAAGAAATGATACTTGATATACACGAATTTGCCTTCATCATTCACCCTACAAGTGTTTAGTAGGTGCAGGTCACAGGTTCATGTCAGCCAGCTTACCATTTGAAGGTGTGGCAGCCGTAGCCGTGGTTGTTTCTCCATCCCTTCGGGGTTCCATGGTTACTGAAAAACATCATACCGGCATGATTTCTATCCATTGTCAGCCACATGACACGCATCTTTCACATCCACTGAACGAAACATACCCCTCGGGCGTATTGGCCAATAGATCGAAGAGTGAGTTGTGGTCGAGGAGGAAATTCTGAGGGTTACGAGATTGCGACCGAATCACGTCGGGGCCCTGAATAGGGTCTCGGCAGAAGAAGACCGGCTGATCAGACAAAGTCAGAGATCTGGCAATCAGGCAGTACGGAAGAGATCCACCGCATCACATACAAAATTCAGGCCCACGATGTCATAGTTTCCTTCTTCCGTGTAGAACTTGATGGCAAAGCCACGAGGGTTTCGGGCCAGATCGGGGAATTCCCGACCGAGAGTCACGGTAGAAAAGCGGACGAAGACCGGCGTCTTCAGTCCGGAGGACTTGAGGAAGTCGGCCTGTCCAGGTTAGCTTCATTCCCTTCAAGTTCCACTCTTCTCCCGAGCGGCCAAGGGATGTATGCACCTTTGTGAGGTTGGAGACATCTCTGGTAGTTTCGAAGTATCCGAAAGCTCCACTACCACCTGTGCATCGTCAGTCAGACCGAGATGGCGAAGGAACCACCGAGGAGCAGCAGGAACATACAGGGATGAACCATCCGCTCCAGGTTCTTCGAGCGGTTGAAGTGCTGCTGTTTCTGCAGCAAGAAAGTGTCCGACACCAAGGGCAGTCCACCCGCCGTCTTGCTGTGAGCGGGATCGGGGAAGGGAATGCCCTCGTTGTTGGTGAAGTAGGGCCCGTCATCCTGCCGCTTGCCGCCCTGCTGAACCCCCGTCAACTTGGCCGCCGTCCGGGCGGGCCCGTCATTGGCCCCCTGAAACAGCGAACTCAATTGCTTGATGCGCGGGTCGGCGCCCGCCGCTCCCACCGCTTCCCCCAAGGCCTGTAAGGGATGCGCTGCCATCATTGCTTGCCGTCTTGCCAATCAATCACTCGAAAGTTATTATGGTCGTCTCTTTGACCTGGTCTTTCCCACTGGCATGAAGTTATGTTCTTATACTTCCTGCCTTGGCGTCCGGGCGGTTCCGGCCCCAGCCATGACGTCCAACCGTGAACAGTTACCTCACGCGAAATAGAGTTACCATTCCCTCACCTACCGCCCCGATTAGACTTTAAGAAGACTGTCGTCGTGATGAGCAAATTGACTGAGTGGCCATGGCTAAGCTAAGCCCTCAGCAGGACTCTCAAGCATATCCCAGAGACCTCAACGGTCAAGAAGCCGGTTATTGAGGGCTTTTCCGCATGGAAATGATCCTATGCAAATTCCTATTGGTTTCTCCGGCACAGCCACCATCCGCCAAAATCACGACGTCTGGACTATGTCATTGTTCTATCATGCCGACATTAGGCTCCTCTCACTTTGAGGCGCAGACAAAACATGATTAACTGCTTGACCATTGTTGGCTGGCCGGACTGCACACGTAGTGACCACCTATGTCATACTTTCGAGCTGGTCTGGACCTCGAAATTCAGACATTATAAACCGGTTCTGCGCTGTACCTCACGAACTCAAGGACAGTATAATACAGTGCGCACTTCGTAATAGTACTCCAACTTGTTGAGCAAATTACTACATCAGGCAAGCGATCATGTCGCTTTCTTCTTTTTCGAAAACATTATTCAGGGGACCACAATCCTCCAATTTCTTCTCCAAAACGGTTCAGACCGCAAGGCGTGGGTTTCGGACCACCGCTCCTGCCGCGATTCGCGTGTCTGAACTTATCAAGAACGACCACCGCGAACTGAAGGATGCTTACCATCAAATTCTAGGCGCAAAAACGAATGATGACAGGGTCAGATGGCAGAACCAATTTACCTGGGAGCTGGCCCGCCACTCGATTGGCGAGGAGCTAGTTGTGTATCCCCAGATGGAGCTAAAGCTGGACAACGGCAAGGCCATGGCGGAGCACGATAGAGAGGAGCACCAAATTGTATGGTTACTTATAGCCTCGTTTCTTTGAGGGACGAATCAAGCTAACTGGCGTGACACTGCAGGTCAAGGAGCTTCTCTACACATTTCAAGGCCTTCAGCCTGATGATACCGAGTTCATCCCTACTCTTCAAAGCCTGTGGGCGAACTTAGAGCAGCACATCAATGAGGAAGAAAGCCAAGATCTGCCGGCTCTTGAACATGCTATTGGTGAATCTGCCTCCGAAAGTATGGCGCGTTCTTTCGGTCGCACCAAGAATTTCATTCCTACCCGAAGCCATCCAGCAGCCCCTGACCGGCCACCGTATGAAACTGTTGTTGGTCTGATGTCTGCACCTATTGATCGGTTGGGTGACATGCTAAGAAAATTTCCCGACCGGAAGGCATGAGATGAACATTATATTATCTCTTGCTTTTTGTTGTGGAGTTCAAGTTGAGCAAGGTTGTACTTGGCATGCTGATTTCCTATTCTTCCTTTGCCTGTATTATTGTACTATATATCTGAATGAATTTTATATTCTCAAAAACACCTACCAGAAATCGGAATAGATCCCAGTGCAATCGCCAATTCTTGGGAAATTGATCTTGCAAGAACTTTGTAGCAGATATCATGCACCTTCGTGTTATCGATTGCGGTTGGCTGGGAAGTTCTCACTGGACGAGAGTAGAGTATTCCGGTTAGCAGACTGCCTGAACAGTGCCATGCTGAGACTTCAGCAAATCGCGGCACGGGATCTATTGCAGACTGGATGAAGTAATTGCTATACTAGTGGGTGGAGCTGCCGACATGCAACCTAAATAGCTTGCCTGCTTTACGATTAGTGGCAGTAAGACCTCTCTCCCTTGCCCTGTATCGAAACCATAAGAATCCTGTTGGGATGTACAATACCATCTACCTCAATGCACGAGATCAACAGGGGACTATCGGCTATTTGGTTGAGGAAGACTACCCGTGACACGGAATGTCTCAAGACATGGGTATCGATTAATTGAGGTTGATTGAAGATTCCACAGACCTGATTGATACTTAATGCTAAGCCATTCGGACACCGATCAGACCCTGACAGGTATGTTGAGGTGGGCCGACCGGCAGACACAAAACCAATAGTTTCCAACGCCCCACCTTGAAAAACTTGACCCAGGATTTTAATCCGTTTGGCAGGAAAGATGTATTACTATTGGGTGTTTCAATAATAATAGCTAAAAATGTCTCACTCTGAACCAATAGGCTGTATTAAACCTATATCGGGTCCCGTAGTAGCTGCTGCCTACGGCCCTATCAAACGCAGGGCGAACCTGGAAATCAGCCAGAGAATTCTCACACCGTCGTTGGATGCAAGTCCAACTTCATCATCACGTGGGAGGCGGACAATAAAAATTCACTGAACGTATTGGCATGGACTTTATCAACTGAACAGTCGGCGTCGTTAGGTGGCCCATCACATTCTCAAGTGAGCATGTATAAGCCGACGACGAGGTATGAATGGTGGTTGTGCAGCGTATTACTTGCACAAGCAGTCTTGACCATCGTCCTCGAGATGTACGCCCTTATCCTTTTGTGACCACGAGCACATCTAACCTGCGTGGCAGCTATATACTCGTTGAATGGCAACGATGGGTCACCTCTACCATCAATCAAGTGCCGGTGTCCTACTTGATTCCAATTAACCTAGGCATTCTGATATTCGCCTGCCTGTTTGAGTTGTTTCTATCCTTGGACGCAATCTACCACAAGAATAACATCCTTCTATTTGCAGTCTGCATCTGTAATGCCTGCAGCTTCGGTTTTTCTGTGATGCAATTTCTCCTCATGAGAGATACTACTGCAAGACTGTTCGAGTCACGTTTTAGCTATCCGACTTTGGTGGATACTACACGCAATGTGTGGCCTCAGGTCCAGCCAGCAGAGATCCTTGTATGCATATTTACAGGGCTGTGTACTCTTTTTTTATGCCCAATTGCATTTTTAATCCACCGGGACTATTCATGGGCTATCTACAAGTCCGTTCACGGCAGCTTGGATACTCGGATGCGTTATCTGGCCTATGAGGTAACATCGACTCCGTCGTGTTCCCCATTTTTCTGAAGTATCTTGTAAATACTTGCTAACAATAGGGGGTAAATGCAGGTTTTTCTGGTACTGATAAAACTAAACCTCTATTTTCTGATTGGCTTCATTATCCAATATGATCTAGTATATGTGCACTTCAAAGAACCAGAGTATACTTTGACGTGGCTGCTCATCCCTGTCGCCATCATTGCGATATTTCTTGGTGTCTGGTTTGTCCAGCGAGAACAAACCTTTGGTACAATTGCTATTATTGTGAGCTTCTCTACCTCTTGTTCAGTTCCTCGGGATTGCTGGAATGCCTTCTAATTGCCACATAACAGATGAGCTACCTTGCCTTGATCGCGTATCTTATCAGCCGAATTGTGATTCTGTCTGCGGCAAATACAGCCGGCAAGAGCATGATGTTGTTTTTCGCCTCGTTGTCCTTGGCACTGACTGCCGCAACGGTTGTCTGTACTGCTATTTGCATCACAAACTTCAATCGGGGGTTGACAGCCATTAACCAGACAAAAAGTGCCAACGCTCGGGATTCATACCTTTTGTACAACATGACCTCGTCCGCAGAGTTGTCCCCTGGTCCTCCGCGCCCCTACTCTCGTCTCACGCTTGACTAAGAGCCACCAGAGATACGGACTATGTGTGGAAGTACCATAGCATCAAAAAAATTGGCTACGTATTCGCAACTTTTGCACAGGGTAATATCGCAAGCAGAAAGTTTTAAGAGATTGAATATCAACGTCCTTCACGTGTATTTAACTATAAGCTCTTGCCACACACCGTTTCTCTATAACTTTAGCTCATACCGCATCAGTTGTGTCTTTGCTTGAGTGTTACACTGCGAGATTGCTCATATATTGAAAGATCCAAGTTCTCCTGCATAGACACATGTGCGGTGGCCGAAGTATCACCGGACTTTTACAGCAGACCATTTGCGCTCGTCTCTCAATATCATTCCCTCGGCTGTGATTGTGTCACAAATAGCTAGGGCATACAACAAGCCAGATAATCAATTTTCTATTCGATTATCGGACATTTTGTTGCCAAGCAGTGCCTCAGGAAGGCCCGAAATTGGGAAGCATACTCATAAGTGATACTTCAGTTCGTCTGTTCAGCGAGTTGCAATCTTCGGCTTCTAAGAATGTTCCGACCCATAGTGAATAGATCAAGCCCAACTTGGGCAAAGAATAGAACAAAAGCAAGCCAAAAGGTCAATGCGCCATTCCATGCATATGGTCCATGCTGATGAAGGTGGATGGCGGTGGCCGAGGACAATGCCAAAGGAGCGATGAAGTTGAGGATGGCTAAGGACCTTGGAAAGGCAGGGTCGGAACTTTGGTCCGAGAGAATTGCCCACGCTATGGTCCAACTTTGTATCCAAAACGGCGGCCATTGCATGATGAGGGTGAACCAAAACAAATCACTCAGTAGTAAAACCAATTCCGGCCCGTAATCCCGAAACGTCGCCAGTCCTAAGAATGTAGAGGACATCATGAAGGTGACACTCGCTACCCCACAAGCCACAAGAGACAAGTCGCCGAGAATTGGGTCTACGTCTCGTATCAATCGAAGCTGCTTTGATACCACTGCTCCATAAGCAAGACATAATCCGGAGCAGATAACAAACATTGCAGCCCCCGCCTGGATTCCCTTTCTGTGTCTTTCGTAGTGATTGTATACCTTGTCGGCACCCCATGCTGGAGGGAGCGGTGGTATGAAGCCGCATGCTATCATTGCCAGAAATAGAATTGTCACAAACAGGAAACCGCTTGCGACAGATAATAACTGCCAATTGATTGGAGTGAAAAATTGATACCTAACACACAACTTGTTCAGTACCTTTTCACATTCAGACAGGGGGCGGCGCATAGCTGCACCAGAAAATGATCGCGAAATAGTCATGTTCAGAGCACTTGATTGTAGAAAGTTATCTTATTGGAAACAGCTATAATTTGCGAGTGACGATGAGAGATATATGTACATCTAACAGGTAACAGCAATGATAACCCACTGGATTACTTTCCTCACCATGGGACATCATGTAGCTCGTCGTAAGGGGAAATTTGAAGTCATAATCTCGTATGGGCCTGAATGAAGTATGTAAGGAGACAGTCAGATGAATTGTGCACTATTCCATGTCTAAAGTGCTGTGTTAAGTTTTCCACGCCAAGTGCCTCATAATGCATCAACCTGGATGATTCATTCAGGGAAATGTATAGGCTTCGGGTTTCACAGCGTGAATGCAAGTAACAGAAAAGGGATGTTGTTGCCCAGGTCGACAGATTGTGATGATATTTCAAATCACGGGGGTTTTGGCTTTGCTAGCATCACGTGCACGCTAACAGAGCAAGGGTACTCTGTCAAGCCCCTCCTCCTTCCCTTTTCAAAGTTCCAGTCTACTTTCGGTCTTCATATACATACAGACAAAATGCTCCTAATATAGTTACCCAAAGCATGCCATTTTATTGGGGCATTTCAAAAGCCCCCAAGTATCGCTTTGTCTAATCCCTTTCACGTAATTCCTTTCATACCATGCCAAATACGTCGACAGCACGATACTAGAGGTATTGACTTTCGTTCATTGACATTGAATTTTTTTTCACGATTCAAAGACTGTATTGTGACGTCAGGAGGTCTGTCAGCAGTGGTACCGCTTTGATACAATCCCAAAGCACTTAATAGTGGAAGGGGATTGGAGTTAAAAGTCAAATCTGTCTTCGAATCTCATATGAATATATACAAGGTATAGACATCAAGTAACAAATTTGGGAAGTAAGAAGAGACTTAGATTGCAGATGTTTGAATATGTAGCGGGTACGCCTCGTCTGGCATGTAACCTCAAGTACAAGTTAAACTTGTTCATTTACAAAGATTAGGTAGCATTGTTCGTTGATTCAAATATATCATGAGACAGTTGCACTATATTCATTATATTGACGGTTGTGTGCTGCAACTCGGAGGGACGAAACCAAAAGCACATATTGCAGAATGAAAGTGGACGGAGAGAGAAGCGCCACTCAGTAACTATCTTGACCGTACATGGGAACGAAAGGATGCGGGCGTTCCGCGCCCTGGCTTTTGTCACTCAAGAGAGGAAGTATCCCTAAAGGCTGGGTGACTACATCAAACTCAACCTGAAATTGGACTTCCAACAGCTGCTGACAAAACCAGTGGGCGTTCTAGGCGGCGTGCCGCATGCTTTGCCAAGTACTCTTCCCTCAGACCCCATCCTAGCATCAAGGCTGCTGCCGGACCCAGAATAAGACTGATGAGTGTGCCTGCTAGGATGAACGAGAGCCAGGGCATGCTCATCATCCCGCTGGAGCTTAAGTCCATATACTCGAATGTGACCCATATCAAGCCACATACAAACCCCGCCATCTCTTCGTGGTCGACATGTATGGTAGATACTGTTAGACTCATATGCTGTGATATTGGGAATACGCAACCAAATAATGACCGTGATACCCAACCTCTCGATAGCAAGGACATGGCCCCGGATAGTAAAGCGCATGTGTAATATGTTATTCTAATATATGGCATGTCGACGTTCGGAGTTTCAATAAGCTCTTTCACTGTTGTTCCTCTGAGTAAAGACGATACTTGGACATGAAGGAGTCGGAAAAAAGCAGGTAGTAGAATGAACATAAAAGCCGAGTTGCTTCGCACTGAAGGGTTTGCATAGGTGATCCAGAACCCCGGAATATAATAGCATGATATAAGGCAGGGAATCAGGATTTTCATATAAGAGAGTTGCGTACTGCGACGATCTGGCGTTTCGAATTTGGACACCGGTGACTGTATGGCATATATTAAGAAGTATAGAGGAGCTACCACATGGGTCCCTCCAAGTATTCCTGAAATCACAGAGAAGGACAGGGAGCTATGGAATAGTTAGTTCTCTCGCCGTATTGAATAAGCCTTTGTCAAACTTACAATGACATCAAAGTGGCAATGTTCCCTGTTCTGCAGCTTTCCACAGCCCAAATTGTTAGCAGCACCCCGAGGTCTGCGATTCGTGACATTGCTGCTAGAGTCTCAGTGCTTTTATGATAAGTATAAGAGCCATCATCTTCGTATGCTAGCCCGTTCTGCTTATGTAAAATAGGCGAATGATCAACGATGCGGCCAGCAATGTAGTGCTGCAGAAGGGGTGGAACTGCAAATGTTATGGTAATCGCAATAAGAGAACGCAGTATTAGTGAATTCGTTCTGGTAGCAGCTTGGATGCCTTTTCGTGTGTCAAATGGCATTGTAACCTGTAATGATCTCTGAGGAGGTGGGAGAAATGACAATTTCTCGGCGCCAACAGTGGTCTCGCACAGGATATCTGCTATTGCGTCTAGTTGATATTTACCGAGGTAGAAACCTACAACCCTGTCTTTCAGCGTATGGAATGCTTCGAGCCTCGTAAAGCCGTTACCCAACTCGCAGAGTAGCCTCATGCGTTGCTGTCTGGATCCAGCCCAATCTTTCAAGGAGGTTGAAATCCGAGGAAGGGATAGGTCGGAGGATATGCTGGCTTGCGCCATAGCAACGATTGTATTTGCCAGGGACGCGGCACTCTCCATCGCCCCGTTCCCGCCTTGCCCCAGATTAGGAGTAGTCTGTGCCTTGAATCAGCAATGAAAATTGGGGTAGGACCATCACTGTACCTTGTGTACTGAATCTCCGATACATGCATATCTCTTCCAGACCCACTGGTTCAAGAAACCTTCTTCGATAGGCACATGGGAGCAACGGACTCTGTTCTCGAATATGTCCCGGAACCGCACCCCTTCTGCAACATACTTATTAAAGAAGGGAGCCATATCTTCCTCTATCTTGCTTTGGTCTAAGCGAGGTATGTCCTTTTCGCCATATACCTTTCCCATGTCACGGAATACGAACCAGAATATTTGACCATTTCTTCCCACCGCATTGAAGAATGAAAAGCCATGCGCAAATGTCCTGTTGCAATGTCCGATCTTCATCCCCGGTGTGGGCTTGGAGATTCCAAAAACCGCAGAATACTGAGCGCTGAACACTGTTCTCACTGTAAGCATGGTGGTTTGAATGTGCATACGACGCATTACCTCGTCCAAGAGCTTCAGGCATTATATGCGATTTTGGGCTGTCGCTGATAATATCCCTTAACATCTTCCTGCGCGTAATGCTGTGTATCCCATCGGCTCCAACAACTATGTCCGCCTGGTACGTACTCCCATCCAAGCACATAACTATCCCCTGGTCGTCCGATGATGTTATCTCTATGACTCTCTTTCCGAGGAGCACGCGTCCTTTGTCTGGTATATGGTCAAAAAGGACTTGAAGAACGCGTTGTCTTTCAATGAAAATCACAGGGTAACCCTGCCTGCTACCATGTTAGCAAACCTACTGCCAGGCATGTTACGACCGTAAACCGATGGGATGTCACATTGTGGAAGTGTTCAACGCGTGGTTGTGACATACCGGGCGGTAATTAGGGCCAAGCCTTCGGTGTGCCCAAGCAGTTGTCCGTCATCTCGCCAGATGCGCTGGACAGAAATAGGACCACCGTGATATTGGATGTCCTCGAACATCCCCAACTGGTCCAGAATACGCGCTCCGCTCGACAAAAGGCATAGTCCCGCTCCATCGCATGGTGCAGCTTCCGACCTAGCTTCCAGGACAACGAAGTCAATCCCCTGTCGAGCAAGAGCGTTGGCGAGAAGTAAACCCGCGATGGACCCTCCGACAATGACCACTTTCAAACTTTTAGTAGGCATATTCCGACTGCAACAGAAAGACGTACAAATGATTAATAGAACGGGTTGGGGTTCTCGAAGCCTTCTGCGATGAATGGTAAATTCTTTTATACCGTACGGATGAGACAGGTGGCCTACATCATAGGAACTATAATAGTGAACCTGATAACCCATAAACTTGTAGATGAACACCCTATTCGTCGAAGGGGGATTCGCCCTTGCTACCTCAGTAATCAATTGCGGATAACAATAACTTCCATAACAGTCCACTTGAAACGATGAGCTCGTTGAGTGCGAAATTAAATTCGCTGTTGAAAATGTTGAAACCACCTAGCGTAGTGTCATGCCCGATACTCCCCAGGAGCTTTTACACTCTCTGAGCGCCCTGCAGTTAGTGATGCAATTGATCAACCTAATATTCTCATTTTCAGACGAATCAAATACCTCACGTCTTCCAGCTTGGAGTACGGCTTACGCTGATTCCATTCCGGCACATATGCCTGCAACCTGAAACTCGGCACCTAATGAAGTTTAATGTGATCGCAAGACGGGTCAGTTCGTTACTTTTGGCGTCTTGCATACGGTGACGCGATCTTTCTAAGCCTACCTCATTTGGGCATAGGCCAGATGCAGGAAGAAAACCTTTAAAGCTAAGTGAAGAAAACAGAGAACAGCTGTGGACGTAAGGGGGCGGCGATGAACGTGTTCACATGATTTCGTTATGACAACGCCTTTTGCTTCAGCGCTGAGGGCCAGCTTATTAGATCGTCTTTTGTTCCAAATACGGCCCGTACGATCAATACGATGGGGTTATATAATCGAACGGTAATTAGAGTGACGACTTGGACGTTGTTGTGACTCTGAAAATCAACTCAAGCAAGGGTCTGGCAGTATTAGACCACACCATTACCAAGTCTCTTGTGACTACCAGGTACGATGCAAATTGTTGTTATGAAGAAAACCGCTAAGAGGGGGGGGGAAAATGAACTTGCAATACATTCAGGCACC